ACCTAATAGACGTCAATATGTCTCGGGATGCGAGGCGAGGTGATGCGCTTCCTTTACAACTTTAAATTGGATTTACTTTGAATGCTCACGTGACTTTTTCTGTTGTCCTTTAATAAAAGGAGTGCGGCGATCGTGAGTTGGCTGGGAGATTGAGCCATGAATCAATTTTGCAATTAATGCATTAATTACGCAGGTTATAAAGTTTAACTAAGATATAGTTTGACCATTTTTATATTTTGAGTACTTGGTTAGTGGGTCATTTTCAAGAAACACCCGCTTTCAGGAAAATGAAGATTTTTTTTTGCTTAAATTGACTTTTGGTTGGATTTTTATAAATGTTTAGAGTTTTGTTTACTTACATTTAAGACAGGCAGTGCACTTTTTAATTTTTTTTGCGTTTTTTCCAGAAAAATGCTTTACATGTCTCCACTGTGTTACCAATTTGAAATCCAAAATTTAATTCAATAAAAAAAGTTGTTATAAAAATAATTTGAAATAAAATGTACTTAGTTCACAAACTTTTGACTGCAATTTTATTTTTTATTAAAAATTGTATGCCTTTTTTAAATATTTATGTTAGTTGAGTTACTTTTTAAAAGACACCATTCCGATTCTTTGTTAAAAAAACAATGCCATTAATATTTTCTTTTAGTCACTGTATTAGTGAGTTAAACTCTAATTTATAAACAGGTATTACCAAGTGATAGTAAAATCATTTTAAGGATTTTTTTTAACATAAACTAAAAAAAGTAACGAAATAGACATTAGTATCACAACGGACTGGGGTACACAAAGGACTTAATCAGATAACGTAAAAGAGAAACTATATAGGGTGGTACGATTTTAGAGTAATGCATAAACAAAATCCCTTGTAGTGGTGCTCACTTGCAGAATAACAACTTAGATTTCTAAATTATAGACACCCTTTTTCTTTGACTATAAGCTGATGTCTTTTAGTACTTGTATATTGCGTGGAATTTTCCCTTGGATGTAATCTATATCATAAGTTGTAATCACAAATAATTTTAAATTGGTTTATCATAAACTACTTTTAATAAAAGCGACGGTAAATATCCACTTTGTTGTCGAAAAATTCTATTGCGTTACCCTAAATTCCATTGCGTTACCATAAGGTAAGGTAATGGACTCGGTAACGCAGTGGACAAAGTTTTGTGAAACCATATTTAAAAAATAATAATAAAACATTACAGTCATTAATTACTCTCAATGAGCTTTAGTGCCCTAAAATAAACATAAACATGAAAAATAGTATTTTTTCTTACCTTATTTTTATTATTTTTTTGAGTAACTTAGCGGACAAACAATTATTACATTCGCGTTACCCGCACCTGTTTCAACCGATATCTTCTTCCTGATTGAATAAATAAATTCAGCTGGGTAATGTGTAGGTACGTCCGAACATCATTTGTTAATCAAGTGAGTGCCAAAAAAGTTGCCATATATATGTTTTTTTTTTTAATATTCTATCGGTAACGCGACGGACGTAACGCAACGGAAAAAATGTCTGGGACATGAGTCAAATTTAAGAAAAGTAGATTAAAATTAATTAATTTATATATAAATTGTTTACTTTGTTAACTAAGGATGTTATGGATTGCTATAAAGCAACATAAAGTTCTGGTTATTCAATATTTAAAAAAAACATGTATGTAAGTTTTATAAAACGCTTATGGGACATGCGAAAATGTGTTTTTCAAAATTAAAAAAAAAATATTCTGATAAAACAAAACAAACATTTTCTGAAAGAGTTTACTAAGGGCTTGTTAGGCTTTCACTTGGTTTTTTAAATCAATAAGATCCGATAATTTTTTACAAAGTTATTTGAATTCAAACTTACGGACAGCGGAAGGCAGGTGTTTTTTGAAAACGACCCAAGTAATAATTCCACAGTAGAAAAATCGCTGTTTCGGTGTTATATTAAATTGTTTTTTTATTCTGGATTAATAAAGTTAGAGCGGCATTGAAAATCAACCATGTGTTAAACGAAACACGATAGAAAATAGCAGCAAGACATAATCACCAATACTTTTTATAAAAGGCAGACCTGCCTTAGAGCGGTTGAAAATAATAATATGGTAAATAAAATATATATTCTGCAATACAAAAAGAGTTATTATGGTCGGAATAAAAAATAAACCAAGTGAAAAGACACAAACATTAGCGATTGTCAATCGATATCAAAGAATCGTATCATCTGGTCCATTGTTGATGTATCAAAAGATATTTGGTAGATACAAAGTGGTTGAAATCAAAATACATTTTCACATATAACACACCAGTGCCGGCCTAAACATGTTTTACGTATTATTAGTTTTATGTTTTCTAATTATTTAAAAATTTGTATTAATTTTTATTGGTTTTTAATAATATTTAATAAAATTTTTAAATGTGACGAAATTTGAAAACAAAAATTTTGCCTTGTCTTGTCGGGTATTGTCTACCAGACAAAGTCTAGTCTTTATTGTTATTTTTACGCACATCCCTTGAAACAGTGAAAATGCTCACTAAAATTTACTCTATTTTTAACGATGGTCCATTCGGTATTGTGCGATATTTTCCATTATAATATTATTTCAGGATGCATTGCCTCTATCAGTTCCTCTGTCAAATTTTTACAAGCAAACAATTTTTCATTCTTTATAGTAGAAGCATATGCAACACATACATATTAGTTAATAATTTTACAAAATTTAATTGTTTTTCATAGTATTTTTTAAACATTAACATACGACTCTTTACTTCAACACTAAACTACTACTATGCAGTAGGTTTTGCAAGTTTTATATATACTTATTATGGTATTTAAAAAGTATGTAAAAGAACAAAGTTGCGATATCCTACACTAAAGATCAAAAGATCGGGGTACTCCAGGGCATTCTATATTATAAACGATCTTGTTGAATATGTTAAAACTACAGTTATAATAAACATTATTATTATCAATATTCGATAGTTTCCACCATGACCACCAATATTATAATAATATAATATAATATAATAATAATAATTATTATTATTATTATTATTACAAGACAAAATTATATAAGAAAAAACTTGGATAATGACATTCTAAAATATCGATGGCTGACAGTAAAAAGGTAATACAAATTTAAAAAAGTTAGAGATGGCTATATGGCCGGTATATAATTGGCAACTATCTGACGAGAAGGCTTTAAAAAAGGAGAAGGGTTTGTTTTTCTTAAACATAAATAATATTAATATTTTATATTTAATTTTTCCTGAAAATATATCCAAGTTGGATTATTATAATAAGCTTGAATCACTAAGAAGACAAGAGAAACCTTATGTTAGTGGAGGTGACTTTAATGCAAAATCCAAAATTGTCACTCTTTATAGACATAATTTTTACGACATAATTTTTACGACATAAGATGCAGACCATATAAGGGAAGTAAGTTTTCTTCGAATTCCATGGTAAATCGAATGGGAGCGTGTGAAGCTCATATTTATGAAACATGGATATCAAGATATCAGGCTTTAAATAACTTGTCCGACATCGACATATTTCTTTTTCCAAGGGGAATCCTATAAACAGGTGCCGCTATGGAATCTCTCTTGTCATCAACCCGAAAATAAAGTACCTATATATTCAATCGGAGCGATCAAAACACATACGAGGGTGGATCAATAAGTACCCGTGTTAGAAAGGAAGAAACAAGTTTTTCAAAAAATTTCATTTCTATTTTTCAACGTAATCTCCTCCCAACGTTTCTGCCATTTTTAACCCCTCGAAAAAATACGATTTCCCAAACTCAGCTAAATACGCTCCAGTCTCGACGAAACAGCACTTTTTTCTTAGCCAAATGAGGCCGTGTCTCCTTCAATTTTTCATCGAATCGGTCCAATAATTCACTATAGTACTGCCCTGTGATCGTACTTCCTTTCTGCAAAAAGTCCATGAGGATTATTCCCTTGGAATCCCAAAAAATAGTGGCCATGATCTTTCCGGCCGATGGGACCGTCTTTGCTTTCTTCGGAGCAGATTCACCCCGAAAAATCCATTGCTTCGACTGTCGTTTAGTCTCTGGCGTATAATAATGTATCCAGGTTTCATCAACGGTGACGACTCGACGCAAAAACTCCTGCGAATTTCGATTAAAGAGGTCCAAACACTGCTTCGACATTGACAGCCGTATCCGCTTGTTGTCCACCGTAAGCAATCGCGGCACCCATCGGGCAGATACCTTTCTCATGTGTAACTTATCATGCAAAATATTAATTGCCGTTCCGTATGATAAGCCTACGGCCTCTGCTACTTCTCGCACTTTCGTTCGGCGATCTGCGACAATCATGTCTTGGACCTTTTTAACGATTTCCTCGGTAACAACGTCTGCCGGGCGGCCTGGTCGCTCCTCATCAAAAACAGATGTACGACCACGTTTAAATTCGTTGAACCAATATCTTACGGTTGTCATAGATGGTGAAGGGTCCCCATAGACAGCATCCAACTTCACTTTTATTTCTTCGCATGTTTTTCCATCCAAAAATGAAAAGCAAATTACGGATCGATATTGTTCTTTTTCCATTTTATCGATTAATGCGACACACGTATGGTACAAGTGGCTGCCAAATAAAAACCAACCTAGTATGTGTTTTGATCGCTCCGATTGAATATATAGGTACTTTATTTTCGGGTCGATGACAAGAGAGATTCCATAGCGGCATTCCCCTTGGAAAAAGAAATATGTTGATGTCGGACAAGTTATTTAAAGCCTGATATCTTGATATCCATGCTTCATAAATATGATCTTCACACGCTCCCATTCGATTTACCATGGAATTCGAAGAAAACTTACTTCCCTTCTTAGATGTTTTAGTAGTGGTGATTCAACAGGTTTTTTACATCATCATTGACATTATAATGAGCTACATGGTCTGCATCTATTGTCGTAAAAATTATGTCTAAAGACATAATTTTATATATAAATATATAATGTAAGCCTCCTGAGGGGTGTTACCTTTTAGCAGTGACAATTTTGGATTTTGCATTAAAGTCACCTCCACTAACATAAGGTTTCTCTTGTCTTCTTAGTGATTCAAGCTTATTATAATAATCCAACTTGGATATATTTTCAGGAAAAATTAAATATAAAATATTAATATTATTTATTTTTAAGAAAAACAAACCCTTCTCCTTTTTTAAAGCCTTCTCGTCAGATAGTTGCCAATTATATACCGGCCATATAGCCATCTCTAACTTTTTTAAATTTGTATTATCGTTTCACTGTCACCCAGAGATATTTTAGAATGTCATTATCCAAGTTTTTTCTTATATAATTTTGTCTTGTAATAATAATAATAATAATTATTATTTTTTATTATATTATATTATATTATATTATATTATATTATATTATATTATATTATATTATATTATATTATATTATATTATATTATATTATATTATATTATATTATATTACATTATATTATATTATATTATATTATATTATATTATATTATTATAATATTGGTGGTCATGGTGGAAACTATCGAATATTGATGATAATAATTATGAAAGTAACTATAGTTACTATATGTATACCTTTAAAATGTTCATCATAACTATAGTTATATTAATATGTTAAAACTATATATAGTTTTAACATATTCAACAATATCGTTTATAATATAGAATGCCCTAGAGTACCCCGATCTTTTGATCTTTAGTGTAGGATATAGCAACTTTGTTCTTTCACATACTTTTTAAATACCATAATAAGTATATATATAACTTGCAAAACCTTCTACATAGTAGTAGTTTAGTGTTAAAGTAAAGAGTCGTCTGTTAATGTTTAAAAAATACTATGAAAAATAATTAAAGTTTGTAAAATTATTTACCTAATTCTATAAATAAAAATGCTTTTTAGGACGATAACACTCATTTTCACAATTAAATTGAAATAAAAAAATTAATGAAGAAAAAATTACCTAAAATATTTGGGTGACTCTACAAAAGTTGATGTCATCAGTCAATAGAGTAGGTATTTTAATATTTTTTGTAAATATTTTAGTATAATTTTATAGTTTGTGGTGAAATTAAAAAGTTTAAGATAAATTGAATATATTTTAAAATAAAATCACTCAAATATTTTATTCATGACACGCCAAGGTATTGATGTTTTAAATATTTATTATGTTTTTCTATAAACGTGGTTTTGAAAAAATACATTAAAATTGGGTGGAAAAGTTAAAAAAACCTGGATCTTATGTAATATTATTAACTGTTTAAAAAAGTGACTGGCCCTGTCTGGAACAGTATATTTATTATATTTTCTATGTTCTCATAACAAAATACTGTTTAATTTTCTCCGAAAACTATATAAAGAAAATGAGGTCAAAAGTTGCCCAACTTTTGTAGAATCACCCATTTATATTTTGTATAAAATTAATATTGTTTACTACTTTTTGGACTTTTTTGACATCTGAGTGACGAAAATAGAAATATAAATGAAAAATAGGAATGCTTTGCCGAATACAGTACGCAAACGCAGGGTTAACCCTGGAGCATTCAGCATTATTTTAAAACCCACAAAATATCAAATGCGACGAAATAACAAGCATGTGCAGGGTGAACTAACAAATGCAAGAATTATGGAAAAATATTCAGAAACTAAACTTAATTTATTTTTAACTGGGGCGATAATCCGTCTTCATTTTTAATTTAAATACATTTTTCATTTTAAAGGAAGAATGTATTTTTTGCATTTTTGTAATTGTATAAGATATATTGTTTATCTAAAAATATTTGAGTGCACCTACACAGAAAAAAAGAAATAGTTCATTTAACTATATTAATTTAGTTGACCCATAAGTATTTATTTAAATCAACTGTGGGAGGGTTAATATAAACAAAGATTAGTTTAACGGTACTAAACCAGATACTTATTTTATTTTTTTTAAATTTGTTAAATTAACCTAGAAAACTTGAAACTTGAAACCAACCCGCTGTATGGTTCAGTTTACTAAATATGTTGTTTGTAAAATAAGAGTTACTTCAACCTAAAGCACTCTGTTAAACCGATTAAAACAATTTGCCGTGCATTCCTGGTTGCATAGTGTATACCGATCGCGGCAAAGGGGTTGTGGATCACGTGATATTCTTAAATATCGCCTCTGTTGACTTACATGAATAGTATATAAGCTCAGGTAGTCCTTTGCTTTGGTGTGACACTAAAGTTTGTTCGATACTAAAGAGACCTTAAATAGGTGAAAACAGCTGTCAATACTTGAAGTATTTTAAGTTGGTGGAACGCCACTGCAGTGGTATTATTCCAGAAAATTGAACCTTTAACTCGCTAGAGATAATGTTTTTAGTGCGTAATAATAATAATAATAATAATAATAATAATATTTATTGGGCAAAAAGAAATACAAAGAATTCTTTTACACAAAAGGTCAGGGTTCGCATATGCGATCTTTCACCCTGCCTGATATAAGTATAAATACACATGCCAAAAAATTAACAATTCCAATAGAAAAAATAAAAATAAAATCAATCATTCTGTAAAACATTTTTTAGTGTTTTCTTAAAATTTATTTCAGATAATGATAACATATTAAGTGTCATATTAAGGCCCAAGGGGGCATTATATTGAAGGGATGATTTAAATTTAGTGGTTTTATGCAGAGGTATTGTATAACTATTAGTCCTTACTATAACTTGGTGTATAGATGACCTTAATATCAATATGTCAAATAAATAGGAGGGAATTTTATTTTTTATCAATTTAAAAAGAAAAACGCAATACAAAAAGGTAACTCGTTGTTCAATGTTTAAAATATTGTTAGAATTAAGATAAGGTGTTATGTGGTCTCTGTAAGGTATCTTATATACATATCGCATAAAAGAATTCTGTATTTTTTAATTTTTTTTTTGTTATAATTTGTAAGATAATTGTAATACACGCAACAGCAATACTCTATGTTTGGATATATTAACCTTTGTACAAGCGTCAGTTTTGTTTTGCTATTTAATGATTTTTTAAGGTTATTTAACATCTTTAATTTCATGTAAGATAAGCTACAAACTTTGTTTACATGGGGTTCAAACTTCAAAACATTATCAATTCTTTGCATGGGTAACCCATTCGATTCTAGTGTCATTTAGATATAAATATAATGAATTTAGATCGATTTTTGTTACATTGGATTCGCAACTAATGCAAAGCCCTACTGATTTTTTGGGATTCATTCTTAGTCCACTGTCCTTACACCAATTTCCAAGACGTTCTAGATCTTTGTTGATGTTTTTTACGGTTTTATTTATGTCACTGTATTTACATGAAATATACAACTGAATATCATCTGTATATAGATGGTATTTTAAATGTTTTAAACAAGAAGCAATATCGAAAATGTATATGGAGAACAACAGTGGTTCAAGAATACTTCCCTGAGGTACGCCACTTAAAGTTTTAACCCTATTAGACAAAATTTGGTTATATTTGACTCATTGTTCTCGATTTGTAATATAATTGTAAAACCATATATGTTCAGCATTACTTACACCGATAAAACTTAACTTGCTCATTAAAAGATCAAAGTTGACCAGGTCGAATGCCTTACCTTGATCTAATAATATCAAAAAACATATCTCAGACTTGTCGAGTGCAGTACTAAGATCATTCGTAACTTTGAGTAAAGCTAAAGTAATATACTAGTAATGCGTCAAAGAACTTCCTGTTTCCTTTTTTTACTTTTTTTTCTATGTAGTATGATTTAATTTGACCAAAAACACATAATATTTAACACTGAAGAGGAGTTCAATTTACATCAGGTACAATTTATTTTAATACTGTGTGAAAGTTAAATTTACACTATTTTGGTATTTGAATTTACAATTTAACACCATTTTGGTTTGTATCGATGTAGACCATGTATGGTGTTAATTTAGTGTTAAAATGGTCATAAAATTTTGAACAGTGTAATGGTGCATTTTCTAATTTCTTTTATTTTTTACCTTGTTTCATTCTTCTGATAGGTTTTATTATTTATAATTTAGTTCTGCCAGTTATCATTTTTTAAATTGATTCGTTAAATATTTAGAATCTTTTTTAATACCTAAGAAATTTGTTAAACATTTGCCACCTAAAAAAAACAGTACTGGACAAGACAATCTACATATATCAAAAAATTATGGTAATCCATCAAAAACCGGTTATTTTACCATAAACACTCAAACGCACAAATCTTTCTTGGATTGAATAATTTCGTATTGAGATGGCAAGTTAAGGTTCTATTCGTATGATAATTTAATACAAACGAATCCTGGATATCTGAATTTAAAGTATTATTTTTCCGAAGTATTCACTTAAATGAAATTTAAGCAGAAACAAAGTAGTTAGATTGCAAATTTACTGAAACTGGTTTATAAAAATGTAAAGAAAATTAAGCTTATACGATAATCTTTAAAAAATACAAATTTTACCAATAGTATTGATACCATAAGTGTAAAATAATATAAAAATAATTAAAAACATTTAAAATTTTAAGAGCAAAATAAAAAAAAATTGACGGTTTGAATTGTTTTAATTGGCTGTTTATTAAAAATATTATGCACTCTTTCAATTATCCAATTAAAACTAGCGATTTAATTTAAATATTTAATATTTGCATAAATAAAAAAAAGATTTTTACAACTTTTTTACATATTTTACTGTTTTGTTGCAATAAACGTTCAAACTTTTAATCTAACCTTTGACGTATACATTTATGTTCCCTTAATTAATATATCCTTAAAGGTTGCCATGAAACTTAGATATATTAAAAATTTATTTGACGTCATTTTCAGTATACGTATTCTATAATTATTGTTTAGTTTTTAAAGTGTTTTTTATAAACAAAAATGAAAAATTGTAGTAAAAGTTACGAAGAAATTTATGAAATTTAACTAAGGACCGGTTTATTCATCTTTAGTAAAGTTTATCGGGCCGATAACTTTCATGTCTTGGCAATATCTATAGATATTGATACTATAGTATCCAAAGAAATTATTCGTCAAATAAATCAAAAATGAATAAATCGGCCCTAAATAAAATGTGGCACCCTTAGAATTATTGTTTAATAAATTTATACTATACATTTAACCTTAAATTAAAACTTTAAACGTGTATTAGAACAAAACAGTAAAAGATATAAAAAATGTATAGACCTTTTTTTAGGAAATTAACTAATCTTTAATCTGATTTAA